CMAAWTWATTTGTGAAACACTCCCTTTGAGCCTGGTAGGCTTTTGAAAGCAGAAGACCATTTGGTTTTCCTCCTGGCACTTCCAGATATTGTCAGGCTTACAGCTGCTGGGCTCCTCCTCTCATGGAGAGCTCCTATTCCCCGTATCTCCACTCCTGCAAAGGCACCAGTTACATGCTCTCAAACACCTTTTTGTAACTCCATACTATGGCAATGCAATCCTGGCCATGTTAACTATACAGGCACTGGCAGCAGATSTCATCTTCCAAGAAACTGAGACTGACAATGACATAATTTTGTCTCAAAAAGATTTTTTTCTCTTTTTATGCAACCATCACAARCACTTCTCCTGTTTCCCTAATGAAGCACAGTTCATTAGGGAAAAAAAGATGGTATAGATAGGATAACACARTTTAATACCATTTCAATTAGACAATAGTGCACTCAGAGAAATGCTCACATTTTAACTTTCAACCTTATCATGACTTAACAGAAGAATAGGGAAACAGCTACAGAATAGGGAAAGTAACTTAATACAGCTGCTTTGCAAGCTGCATAYTACTCCCATTACACTCAGAGATTTAGGAAACAGAGGTACTGGACTTCCCTCAGTGAAGCAGGTGAGTATTTCCCTGCATCTGTCCTTTCTTTCTATCTCATGCATAATAGATRGTTTATTTTTAATGGCATTAAATCAAAGGCTTTGGTATGAACACAGTGGACACTGCTTCCAAGAAGCAGCAGTAAATACATGGAATAAGGAAAACAAATATCAAGTTGGTGAAACAGAGAAAAACAGAGTGCAACAAAGGCAGTGCTTTGGAAAATTCCCCTAGGATTTTAAAATACACAATTGTACAAAAAAGAAACCACAATATAAATTATTCCAAAATATCTCATTGTCTGCCACAAAATAGTTGACTGAACATTTAGCTACTGCTCATTCTGCTGACAATGAAACAAATATTTGACTCTGTCTGGAGCAACATTTTTGATGCAAAATTATCCAAAATCAAATAAAACTTGGAATCAGAAAATGCAGGCTAGGAGGGAGTTTAGGAGGTCCCTGGTGTAACCTCCTGCAAGTCAGCTCTGAGGTCAGACCAGGCTCCTCAGGRCTTCATCCAGTCAGGACTTGAAAACCTCCAGGCTTGGAGACTACACCACCTCTGTGACCAACCTGTCCTCTGTCTGACTAATCCTCATGGGGCAAAAGTTCCTCCTGGAGACTGGAACTCCTATGCAAATGACAGCTAAGATATACTTTTTGTCAAGACTCTCCCCCCCTCCTCAACTTGTAGCTGTWAACCTGTGTGGGAACTGATGCTCCAAGATGAGATCTGTTGTAACCCTGTGGAACAGCTGCTCACTGGACACAAGTGCTCTGTCTCTAAAGCATCAATCACACTGGAGTGCACAAGTTAATACCTTTTTCATTGAAATATTTTATTAATAAGCAAATAATAAAGACAGCAGCAAATATTTCATACATGATCAAGTTTTAAAAAATCTCAGAGTAAACAGAAGCAATGCAAGTTAATTAGTTATGACAAGGTCATATRCCCACAATAAAAACAGGTCAAACTTCAAAAGTAATCAGAACCTTCTTCAGCTTTGTCTGAAATGCAAAGACTTACACTAAATGAGGAAATCAACCTCATAATTAATTTACTATTGCTTAGCAAGGCCTCAGGAGTGAGGACTGACCTCTCAGATATCTAAATGCAAGTTGAGCCAGTCGCTGTCGCAATAGAAAACAAGAGAATAAACTTGAAAATTTTAAGTCTACATTGGGATAAAATACTTTGAGCTTACAAAGTATTCTAAAAGTATTCTGTTCTCTCCACTGATTATAAAGAAGCACAGGACAACCTCAGCACTATGCCTCCCATCCTATGTTTTACATCCAGAGATGTGTTTTTGGCCCACCACTTGTGTTGAGCAATACAAATGATTTTATGTCTCTTTTACTGTGACCTAAGCACAAATAAGTGGGTTTGGTATGTTCATGCAGACATTTCTGCTCAAAATGATAACCAGTAAAGTCACAGCTTTACTAAACAACAGCTTATTTGTTTGTGTGCTGCATCCTCTACTAAAAACCCTTGAGAATTAGCAGAAGAACAGCCTAAAATTTCTGTATCTGTGCTGTGAAGTTACATGACCAGTTAGTACAAATTCAGAGCTGTATAACTTAAGCAGGGTGGATGCACTGCATTATTTCAAGTTATTCCTACTATCTGCATTAACAATAATGCCCCAAGGTTCCAGCTGAGATCAAAGTCCAACTGTATTACAGAGTACAGACATTCATTGCAACACTTTGTCTGCAGTGGACCAAAACCACTGCAGCACCTGAGCTTGATACTACTTCCAGGTGTATCCTGTGTCCTTGTATGTGGAGATGTTGTGTATCCTGAGGGAAGGGCAGCAGTAAAGCATAAATGCTCCATCTAAGCCACTGCATYTTTCCCTCTGTAGGGGACCAAAAGATCATGGAATCATCAGATTGGATGGGTTGGAAGGGAYCTTAAAGATCATCTAGTTCCAACTCAGATRTCTGGGTTCCTTCAGCTASAGCTGTTACATCCGGTAAAGCTGARTCCTAAAGAAGCAAATCTTGCTTCAGCTAATGTGTAAAACAAATGTGGCACCAGAGAAGTGTCCTGGTTTCCCAAGATCATTCAGAAGGTCATGGAGAAAGCCCAGACAGATGCAGTACGCCATAYTGTCTCCCAAATTAGCTACTATATCAAAAGCTCTTATTTCTCACAGACAAGTCTTAAAATTGAGCATCTACTTATGCAGCAATGCCAATGGCCAGCATCAAGCACTGGTGGGAGAGGCCATGGGCTCTCAAGTGCACAGTCTTGAAGACCAAACATGTCTCTGGCAAGTCTTACAGAACCAGGGGGAGGGCATGAAACGGGAATTCTGCTCTATTTACTCATATTTAGATTTCCATACAGGTACAGAAGTGCCAAGRGGAGGGAAAGGAGGAGCAGTTCTTTCCTTTACATTGTGAAACAGTAACAGATATGAACTCAAGTGACCCTTAACTGCTGCTGAGGTCTCAGTCACCAGCCAGTGAATCCACACTTTGCTCAAATACCACCTTCTCCTATCGGCAGTCAGTGCTTCATAAATTAACCTCACTGTCACAGTGACTGGCGGGGAGGGCTTATTTTCTCCAGTGACAAACAGCTGATGTTTGCCTGTTTCAGATCCCTGCATTAGCAAATATTGTTCAAGTGCTGAATTCCTAAGCAAGCTGAAAAATGCATTATTTAAATCATGACTGTGTTCTGGCATTGCACAATATTAATGCTGCTAAAGCTACTTAATGCTTACACATCTAATGCATTTATATAGCAATTTGATAAATTTTAACTGAACTTTTTAATATCWCTTTCTAGTCATTCATCAATTTGGCAAATTGGGACCAAATGTTTCATTGGTCTCTACTTGTGCACAGGTCATTGGTTGCCTATTCAGTCTTCTCTTCTGCATGACCAAAAATTTCTACTTTTTTATGAAGATCAGTTCTTCATTTTGTCTCTCCTGTTACACAAGGTACACCTCAGTTAGATTTCATTTGTGTTTTCAGTTTGGCAAGACCAGTGAGACATTCATCTCTCCATTTTCTCCTGGCATCCAGGACTTTTGGAACAACTGGAATTTTTTCAGACAGTGCCTGGAAGAAAAAAATTAAAATGATTTAAATTTCACATTCTGAGTGAAAAGTTTTTCACCAGCATTGTTTTCCTGCTTTCCCTGTGTCAGACCAAATCACCATCCACACAAATTATAATTTAGGCTATCACAAGAAACAGGTCACTAATTCTTTACATGAATGACTGGAAAGGAACCAACCTGTATGGAAGAAAAATGCTCCCACTTGGATAAGGTTATCCTGAATGTGGCAATGAAGATGAATACAGAAATAACAAAGCATCAGCCTCTTCCCACATTTTGCTCCACACAGTCACAGTCTAGTCTCTTTGATAATAATCTTTTATTAAGTAGAAAGGAGGCAACGTGGCCATTCATATTGCTGAAAATGTGTTCTGAACCAGATTCCTGTGTGTAGTTCCCCATAAATGCAATGAGGGATATCATGTTTATAAAAAACATTTTGTSTTAAGAATACTAGTTACAGTAAAAATGACAGGGGAAAAAAGTATTTCTGAGTGCACAATCAAAGCTGTCTTAGAAGTGCCAAAGAAAAGTTGTTTTGAGAGTGCACATAGAGACCACAAGGCCATCATTGCCAAAAAAAGTACCTGAGGTCTTAGGCTTAAAAGGCAAGTATTGAGAAATCAGGTAAAACCTGGACCTGCTTCCAATGACAGGCAAGTCACTCCAGAAAAAAATCAGAGGGAGGGACAGAGGAGTAAGATAAATGTTTAATGATTAACAGAGGACCCCTGCAAGCCCATCTTTGGCACTGAAGACTGAAGACAATAAAGAGACATAGAAAACAGATGTTGAAGTAGAACCCAGCCTTCCATAAAGCCAAACTGCTTCATACCAGTTAAAAGTTTCTGATTGTGAATGACTCCAAAATTATTATTGACTGTTATTATACTCAGTCTATGTTGCTTAAGCATCAAAGAATCTCTTTCCTTAAATTGCATTAACATAAATAGTAACATAAAATTCTATCTTCCAGATGGACTGTCTCCATATTTGGAATTAATCTYTGAGAGCTGATCAGAAATAATTCAACCCCTAGACATGTTCTTTAGTGAATCATTAAAAAAGCAACTTTGAAAAGGCAGAGTTAGGAAATTACTTCAGTTGATTCCTATGGTCATTCAAAGTGACTACAYAGTGAGTATAAACAAATTGAGGGCTTAGAAATGTTAACAGACAAACTAGATCCCAATCCAGAAACCACTTAAATATACATTATCTGTAAACATGCAAATAACCTTACCAGACTGCTCACATGCTTATCTTAAATGTGTATGTGCACACATTACAAACTGGAACTCTGGTTTGCAAAGTATGAGAAGAACACCCAGAAGAAAAAAGCTACAGGTTTATGCAGGAAGATGGAGTAGAGGAAGACACAGGCAGAACATTCATTCAGGAAAGGAGGCTGTGCACAATACAGTAAGAAGACACAGGAGAGAAGTGATAAGAAATAGCATGGAGGATTTACTCTAGTTATAATGTTACTGGTAATAAAGTGACTGCTAGGTCACTTGCCCATGATCAGTGTCCATGTACTTTCAAAAGGGACTCACATGCAGTGATTTTTTCCTTACAGTACACATTTACACAATAAATACCGACTACAGATACCTCCAGCAGTAAACTGAAATGGTACAAATGCTAAAATAAAGGCTAACATTTTTTGTTCTGAATGTCACTGTTTTTATCAGCTTCATATTTACCTGATTGATTTTCTGCACAGTTTCACCTGAAAATTCTGGAACTGGTCCAAAGGTGTTCAGAACAAGTTTCATTCCTTCAGCATATCTTTCACAATAATTTGAGACACCTGAAAATAAGAGTGAAAAGTTACATTTCAACCGAAATTCCTAGTTAAGGTTAATAATGCTGCCTGTGCTTATGCATTGTCTTAAATCAGAGACCCTAAAAATGGTCTGCTCTTATGATTAAGACACCTAATTGTCCTCAAGGAAAAGTGGATTCTATGCACTCCATTTCCATTAAGGTCCACAGATAATTAGRATGTGGCTGCATTGCAGGACCAATGAATGTCACACACCAGCAGGCAATGCCATGTGAGGGGTGTAGTGCACAACCACGACTATACCTGCGCTTTGTTACTTGTGACCAGAAACTTCCCTGACCACTGTCCAGGAGGAGAGCRCTCTGACCTTTTCTCTCTTCCTGGTCACTGTGTGTCACATCTGTTGAAGCATCCCTGCTGTTGTTTTTATTTATTAACCTGGAGTGTATCAAGAACAACATGGCTTAGGGGGAAATTTCAAAGGCATGGAGACACAGGTGGCTTCCAGTGAGGGAAAAAGGCTAAAGGAGGAACAGATGGATCCTGGAGAACAATTTCTCATAACCCCTACCTGGGGTTAGAGACAGGGATTTGGCTTTTACAACCCTCTCTTAATGGGYGAGCACTTCTAGGGAAAGACAGAGTCCACCTGACAAAGCGAAGAAAAGGCATCTTGCCAAAACCCTGGCCCATCTGGTGAGAAAAACTTGATATTATGAGCAACTGACTGTAGGGATTGTCRCACAACTGGAAAGAGACACACTGCAGGAAAGACAAGGAGGGGGGTGCTATCTCTGTAATGGGGCAGCTCAGATCTGTGGAGCTATTCCATGGGATGGACAACTGGSTGAGTGACAGCCTGTGGGTCAGCACCGGTGGAGAGACCAGTAAAGGACAGCATCCTCCAAGGGCGAGAAAAGTCCATCCTGATATTCAGGAAGACAAGTCCAYGTATCAAGATATTTGCTTGGATGAGCTCCAGTGCAAAAAGGGGTCATACAGGAGGTAGAAGCAGGGATAGGCTGTAAAGAAGAAGTTAAAACATACTGCCTAGGCATGTAGAAATAGTGTCAGGAAAGCCAAAGATCAGCTCCGGTTGAAACTTGCAAGGATGGACAACAAGGACAACAAGGACTTCTACTGTTAGTAACAGCCCTGCTGCTACTAGCATGCCCTTGCAAGTCTGCTTTCTACTGAAYTTCAAACATCATGTCAGTCAATGCACCAATGTCATCACTTGAGATCTTTAGATGACTGAGGGCAAATACTGCACCCATCTTCAAAAAAGGTCAGAAAAAAAACCCAGGTGGGATACTATAGGCCAATCAATCTCACTTCTGTCCCTGAAAAAATCCTCATGAAAYAAATTCCTGGACATAGGAATAAGAGAGTGTGACAAACAGCACATAGTCTCCAATGGGTCCAACATAGTGTAAAACATGTCTAACTGACCACGTTGCCTTCTGTGACTAAATAATTGTGAAAAATAGGAAAGTAGTAGATATCATTTACTTCATCTTTAGAAAGGCATCTGACATAGTCTTCTATGATACTCTTGTATCAAAGCTAGGAGATTAGGGTCAGTCTGTTTGGASAACTAGATGGACAAAAAAATGGGCTAGACATGTAGGCTCAGAGGGAGCAGTTAACAGACTGCCCTCCATCTAGAGGCCAGTAAAAATGGAGTATTGCAGGAATTTGCCTTTAGATTTATACTGCTTAACAAAACATGCTCAAAATGTTTGTGAATAGTATCAGATTGGGTAGGGGCTGGAGCTACACAGGTATGGATCAGCTGATACTTTGAAGGGCAGGACTGCCCTTRTAACAGTTGAAGGAATGAGCCAATATAAAACTTTAACAAGGACATATGCAAGATCCTGCACCTCAGAAAGAAGAGCTCCTTCCAACAACATAGGCTTGTGAACTCTAGGAACTTCTGATAGTGGCAGGCAGCAAGCTGCAAATAAACTAACAGTGTGCCCTGGCAGCAAAGARGGCTGTGTTAACAGATTGAAGTTAATTAACAGTAGACTGAAGGAAGTGATTAACATCCTTTTCTCAGCAYTCATTAGACTGCATCCAGAATACTGCATTCAGTTTGGGACTCCCCAGTACAAAAAACAAGTAACAAAATGGAGCAACTTCAGCAGAGGCCACCAAAATGGTGGGGCCTGGAGYACTTGTCCTATGAKGAAAGGCTGGGGGAGCTGGGTTTGTTCAGCCTGGAGGAGAGATKRTTTTGGGGGACCCTATCAGCAGCTCCCCAGTGCTGCAGCAGTGCCTATGGGAAGGTCAGTGAGGGAGCTCAGTCACACAGAGCCAGGCTCTTTACGGTTGGTGCATAGCAGAAGAACAAGGGACCACAGAAACAATTTGATATGAGGGGTTCAGACTGGATACTCGAGCACAGACACAGGTTGCCTACAGAGGTTGTGCAGTCTCCATCTCTGGTGCTTTTCAAGGATGAAACCCTGAGAGTTTGGTCTGACCTCAGGACTTGCTTTTAAGATTTTAAACATATGGTCAGAGAACCTGAGAACCAGCTAATTGGCAGTAACAGGTAGAACAGCAGTCAAGCAGACTTTGGCTGAATTAGAGAAAGACCCAGTTTCCATCAGCTCCAGTGATGGATTCAGATGAATCTCAAAAAAATTATTGCTGAAGAACTAGAGAGGAACAAAATCATACATGCAGCAAAAAGAGAAATCAGTCACTCAGCCAGACATACACATCTAACAGAGCTTTTAGTGCTATTAGCTACCACATAATCAAGAAAGGATAAGGCAGCTTTTCCCAATCAGGATGTCAGGAACTGCACCACAATAAGCAAGCTGACGCTGATAAGAATCACAGAATCAACTAGATTGGAAAACACTTTGAGCTCATTAAGCCCAACCTATGTGATTATCCTGATGATCACCCCAGATTTGAGAAGTTCTGGATGTCCACCAAAGGCTTCTGAGAAGCACTGAGACTGATGAATTTGCATCCTTAATTCTATTTTTATTAGCTAGTTATCAAAGCAAAGATGAGAAACATGCAAAAGACAAAGGCAAGCAGGTACAGTCACCAACTCTTTCACAAAGACTCAGGACATTATACATACTGAGAAGTATGAACAGGAATTGCTCATAGTCTTATCAAACCACAAAATGCAGGAAATATATGCGGGTGGGCCTGACCATCACACAAAAGAATGCAAATCAGGTCAAGAGTCATTAAGTGATCTCTTTCTTCAACAGTTCCCTGGAATGCAATACTTACTGTATGATATCAATACCTTATAAGTCACACCTGTCTAACCCTAAAATGGTTGAGGTTGAAATGAATGAATKGAAACCTCTGACTACTGCCAACTATGCATCATAATCAACAACACTTAGACTGCTCAACACGCCTGAAATCGCTGAAGTACAGGGTTTCTGAAAGGCCTCAGAGTGTCAGTRGGAACACTCTTGTTTCTGGGCCAAGGAAGAAGAACTTTCAAAGGACAAAGCTTCAAGGAAGTATTACATTCCTGCAGCACTCTGAAGTAATGATGACTGTCAGATAAACAGCTGAAAGGACTGAACAGGAGAACATGTCCATTGCATAAGAACAACGTGGKGAGATTTGAGAGTATTCAACTCTTAAAAATGGACCAGAAATATTCCCCAGGAAGGGGAGGAATCCAAAGGAAAGAGGAGGCTCTGAGAAAAACAGCAGCCTTGGTAAGTAGCTTGAACCTATATTTGGTCAAGTCAGTCTGCTTCCTTGTGTTATCTATCCATGCAGCATATGTGTTCCTAGAATACAAYCTGGCATGTTCTTATGTTCCCCAACACAAAAAGGAATGCCAGCTAGTCATACAGGTATATTGGTTCTCTAATTATACATAAAATTAGTATTTTGCTCAATTTTCTTGAATGACACACAGCCAGAAACCTCCAGATTGCCTAGTGSGCTTCAAAATATCCCTAGCAGGAAGTGAGATTCAGGATGAGAAGCATTACTGTGGGATGTGGAACAGGCCGTGATATCATCCTATCTCTTCACTGGGGGAAGAAGCAGAGACCACCACCCACTTCCATAAACACTCTGGAAAGAACCAMTGGTTATCAGGGCTTTCTGACCATACCCTGCCATTAGCATAAATGTTTGCCTATTACATTTTAACAGCTGGGCYCACAGACTTTGGCACCTGAAGCCAACCCAGACTGACCTACCCAGAAAAGAACCCAAGACAATGCTGGACGAGATTCATGCACCAGCCACAAGATAAAGATATAGGTACATTTCAACTTTGTCTTCCAACAGTCAGGAGTCTGAGCAAAAACGTCCCCACATCATGCAACATCACAGAATGTTCCCAGATCAGAAGTAGAAATGACTGAGGCAGAACAGTGCAGATTTATTATACCAGCAGCTGTTGCCAGCTGGGCAACGACAAAATAAAAAATGGCAACTCAGTCAAATGTAGCAATTCAAGCAAATCCCCATGAGCAATTGGCAACAGAAGGAATGGTAAAGAGAGCAGTGTCAGTTATCAGTTATTCTGGTGTTTACTCAGCTGACACAGGTCTATGGCACTTAGACCAAATAGTTTGGATTTGATAYTTTTCCAAAAGTCATCAGGAACCTTTCAAACATCTGGCAAGCTTGTGCAATAATACCATAGATCTGAGTAGTTTTGATTGTGGTAGTCAGAAGTAGGTAGAAGACTGTGCACCAGAAATCTTTTTATACAAGTGTCAAGCTGAAGAGATAACATTAGTATCTTGGGAAAGCTGAATACTTGGATACGGCCRAACTATTTCCCTGCTGAATATGAACTCCTGAGCTGGACATGGTCTTTAAAGCTCACTCAGCCAGCTAGACCTGGAAATCAAGCTCCTACGGGCAGTTCACCTACTGCTTGAATGAATCAGAACAATTTCTGTGTGGGTGTAGCTCATCACTGCAGCAGAGACGTGCCAAATGCAGGCTGCRTAGCACAATTCACCCACTGCATGTAATGTATGAATGAAAAGAAACCTTATGCA